ACATGACTGCACATGTGCTTTTGCCCTACATGGAATTTACCTTTCTGCAGAGTAAACAGTCACATGCCAAGTGATCTTTGGCTAATACAACTTTCCTTTACTGCTGTTTGCCCTTCCTATTCTGCCTCTTTCTCTTTTGATCTCTCTCTCCCTCCCTTTCTCTAATGTCATCATTCCATGTTTCATTGCAGGGCCATTGTCATCCGTAATGGGGAAATCATTCCAATGTCCAGGGAGTTTACTCCAGAGACAGAGAGGCAAAGGCTGCAGTTTTTAGTAAGAAAGAACTTTCTTCCTATATGATTTGTTTTAATCTACCACCTCCACTGCCTAACACTGCCCAGCTGACCGCAAATATATTTTGGAAGCTGATTTTGTATGAATTGTAACAGTTGGATTTGAGTCCAGTAGCACATTAGAGACCAGTAAGATTGTTAGGGTATAAGCTTTCGAGAGTCAAAGCTCCCTTCATCCTACTCATGTCTAACGCGCGTACCCTCTGAAACTATGATATGTGTAAGTTTGTGATTATTTTCCCCCTGAAGATATCTTTTTAACCCAATGCAATTTAAGAAGAGAGACCACTCCAGGGGGGACAGAGACTATTTTCTATTTCCTCTTGGACCATTTTACTGCCAAAGATTGAATTCCAGAAACACACACACACATTTGTAGATATGAATATTTTTTGCTGAGCTGGTGGTGTTTGGCAGCTAAAACTGCAAGGGGCATGAATTAAATAACCCCTCTCACACTGTTCCTATCTCATCTTTTAAATCGCAGTCTCCCCCCCACCAGTATTGTTTTATTTAAAGAAGTCCAGAAAAATAATCACAGCAAACACATAATATGCTTCCCACCCTAAGGTTCATCTATAGGTTTTCTTGTTGAAGATACGGTACTGAGAGTCTCTACACACTAGGCATAAAAGTACATATTAAAAGCCTAACAAACATGGGGGAAGACTCTTTGAGATAGAGTGATTTGGAGCAAGGAAGCAGCAGGAAAGAAAGGGTGCTTAAATCTTTTCCTCACCTGCATTTTCCTTATCTGCAACCCTGCACTATAGCATAGCTTGGAAAAAGGCCTGGAGGGGGTCAAAGACTGTGGGGGTCCCTGCCCAATGTGCAGGCAGGACAGGAAGGACCAGGGTGGGTGGCGGCGGCAGAGGAGCAGCATGTGCACAGGCATGTGGACAGTGTTCTCACCCATTCCTGCTCTGCTTGCTGCTGTGGCGGGGGCACCTTTTTGCCTCCATCCCAGTCTGGAAGCAGCCTAAGCCAGGGACATGGAAATAAATCCAGTGAAACTGAAAGGAAGAATCCTGAGTGTGACCCAGTGGAGGCACTGCTGGCTGGCTGTGTTTCCTGGCTCAGAGCATACCTCCTTGGCAAGACACCAGATGGAATCTTATCTGTTGCTCTCTATCCAAGCAGCCTCTGTGCCTTGGAAAGGAGGAAATTTCATTGAGTAACAGATCCTCTTCAGCTGGCTATGATAAGGAAACTGTCACTCAGAAAACCAATCCAGCACTTCCCCCATGGGTCTGAATACTTTGCTTTGAGCCAGAGCCTTTTATGGCTCCAGCTCTTTGTCGTAAGAAGTGCTGGAGTAACTACCCTTTTATCATACCAATGTGATCTGTGATGCTGCTCTTAACCATTTTCCTGATTGTATGTGTGTTATTTTCTATAGCTGTATTTCTGTCCCATGAAATTAAGAGCATAGGACACGTTCCACCTCTGCCCTTCTGCCTGATGTTTGTCCTTCCTTCCCCAGCCTTCAGTGCTTAGTTCCTCCTGTTACTGACATGCATATTTAGGATTACTGAATGTGGGTTATTTATCTGCTTTGCACTCTGTAGACACTCTGTCAGACCCCACAATCCAGGTGCTTAAAGAGAGTTAGTATTCAGAGTTTGCCTCCCTTTCAGGGCATGATTTGAAGTATTCCCACTCTAAAGTGTCCTCTGTCCTTCATTTTCTTTTTTCTTTTTTGTGAGTTGGCCTTGGGCCCTTCTTGTGAGGGTTTCTGGGTGGGCTGAATGTACGTGCTTCCGCTGGGCTTGCATTGCTGGCTTCTTAGCTGAGGGTTTGCTTGGTGAGCAGTTGCCTCTTTTTAGGATATTGACAGGTTGTAGGAATCAGAGGGCCAGCCCTGGCAATTAAGCCTTGATGAGGGAGGCAAACCCAAGAGGCCAGAGCGAATCTCTGTTCCTTTTTCAGGAAGAGAAACAGTTGTAAGATGAAGAGAAGGAAAAGCGGATGACTGAGAGAAAGTTTCTGGACTGATTTCATTGTGCGTGGGTAGCTAGGTCAGACCTTGTGTATGATGAATCCCAACATGCCTCTTAAGGTGTGTTTCTGGTAAAAGTAATGTGAGAAACTGTGGTGAGTGTCTAGTTTGCTTCCACAGTATGCATTAACATTTTCTCTTCAAAGTACAAATCCAGGATTAATTTCCTGTTTTATTCACCAATAACTGATGTCCTTTGGGAGGAAAGCTGCCAGCACCACTGTGCCCTATCGTTTTACCACTTGTGTGTCTTCACTGCCACTAAATGAGCTAGTATCAGATTAAAGCCTTCCAGAATACAGGATCTAGACTACAACATTGGACTCCTTTTCTCTGCTCTGCCAAAGTGTAGTATATGCATGTGCATACATGTACACACACCACATGTAGACTGCTGTACCACCTTCCTAGTTTCACCTGTTTTCATTGATAATGTGTTTGGGATCTGGAATGCCCCCTCCCCTTTAACCTTTGTGCCAGACTCAGGCATATTTGTTTATGCTTCAGCTTTTAGTTGGATGACTATGTGATGGAGATGCATAGTATGTTCTCTTCACCAATGTTGCAAAGGCTTCAGCCTACTGTAATCATATATGACTTTACCAACTGAAACCCCCTAAATGTTAATCTCAAACACAATTCTAAACTCAAATAAAAGCCACAAGGCTTGTCTGGAAGTAACCGTAGAGTTAGATCCTATACTTTCATTCCACTGGCACAAGAACATCTTGTATCATCAGAAAGTCCCTTGGGGTAAAAGAATGCACTCATTCTGTTGGGGCAAACATCTAGGACCCAACCCCTTGTTAACTTTTCAAAGGTAAAAATTAATTTGGTTGGTTGGTTCATACACTTGCCGCTACTGGTTCTGGTGCAATGTGTGAACGTACCCTTGAGATCTGAGGTATGTGCCTAAAGAGTAAGTTGTATAAGTCCTTGATGTGACCAAACTGGAAAATCACTGTAATAAGCCTTTTAGTTGGGAATGTGAAAAATAAAAAATACAGCTGTTACAATTGCTGTAACTATTTCTTCTGCACTGTCTGGAAAGGATGAAAGGAGGATCGGACACCCAAACGTTCATTGGGGTACTTGTTTAGAAGAATGGGGCGTTACCTGTTCTATTAAAATGGACACACAAAGAAAGTAAAAAGTAGTATGATCCTGACTTACAAGAGATGGAAATCATAAGGCCTGCACATTCGTGGATTATCAATTTACTCTGTGAGCTATTGTGTGTAAAGGCAATCTTAAAATCTTACCATATGGCCAAGCAGGCAGTCTGATTAATCTTTTTGCCTGTGGTGTCTGCATGGGCCTAACTGCTTTAGAACCCCTCTCTGCAGAGCTAGGAGGATCCTCTGGGGTTTGGGGGCTTGGTCCTCTGTTGGTTTTAGTGGAGATCCAAGTGACTGTCATGGGTTAACAGGTTCTTTTCTCTTACAGGGCTTTTTGAGACCTGAGTTGCTGGGGAATGAATTTACTCATCTTGAGTTTCCCCGAAGAATCCAGCATAAGGAACTGGGAAAGAAGATGCTATACAGGGACCAAAACATGAATGGCTGGTAATTCCCCCCCCCCTTTTTTTTTTTCTAATCTAAACATTATTGATTCAAGAGCAAGAAATTAAATGTTCCATTGACAACATCATGGTCTGCTTGGTGGGGATTTTTTTCTTTCTTCCTGCTCTCTTTGTACCATATTATTAAAGCTGGAGAGAAATGACATGAGGGTTTTGTTTTGCTCTGAGGAAGCTGAATATGGTATTTTATTGGCCATGGTGTGTGCATTCATCCAGGTATTGCCCTGTACAAACCAGACTGAATAGTGCCTCAGGGATCTGATCACAAATGACTGTGGGGCAAAAGAGATGCATCTGTACACAAAGAGCAAAAGTGAAACATTGCTGACAAGAGTTGGTTATTATGACTTGCTGTTTTGTAGAATACAAATCAGTTCTGCGTTTCCAGTAGCGTTCTGTAGTTCTCTGCTTCTGAGATGATGGTAACTTGTATCTGAATTGCAACATATGTATATATATGAAATGTGTGTCTCCTTTTCTAACTAGGGCATATAAAAGGATAGAAGAAGATGATCTGAAGTTTCCACTCGTATATGGAGAGGGTAAAAAGGTGTGTTGAGGACATGAGGAAGTGTTTGAAGAAGAAAGAACACTTCTTGTGAACAACTAGATGAGAGGCAGGTGGTCAGCGTTCAGTCCTGGCATTTTAAATTTTATGTAAAAGAAGCCGCATGGGGGTAGGGGGTTGGATAAGGACCTCAGCACTGAGTAAGAAGAGTGGACCTTTCCCCCTATGCCGTTTCCTGGATAGAAATTTTTTTTCATCCCCTGCTGGTGAAAATGTGTACACATTGAAAAATAGAACATAGAGGGCTTGTGGAGTTTCTAAAACCATGCCATGCAAGGAAAAATACACATTACGTGAAGCATGTAGTTACTAGCCTAGAAAGAGAAATGTTTCTGAAGCCTTGAAGTGTCAGTTTTCTACCCCTCTAACTGCTTTCGGCTGGAATAAAAGGTCCTTAATCCATTTACAGGCAACAAAGGTTAGGAAGAAACTTTGTCAGCCTGAGACCCTCGAGAACTGCTGCCAGTAGTCCATCCTGACCTAGAAGGGCCACCCATTTGACTTGACAAATGCAACTCCATGTGGTCATACGTTTTGTGACATTTCCTCCCTCTTAGGCACGAATGATGGCAACCATTGGGGTGACTCGTGGCCTGGGAGATCATGATCTCAAAGTATACAGCTCCAACATCTACCTCAAACCTTTCTTATCCTGCATCCCAGAGGTAAGCGTGTCAGAAGCAAGATGTGGGTCCCTGGGAACACAGTAAGGCCCTGTAGAAAAAGAGCTGTAGTTAAGCAAGCTGAGGGACTCTGGTCTCTTGTTGTTTCTTCACCCTACAGCGGAGTTATACTAAGGAGACCTGGATTCCAGTTCTCATTCAGCCACGAAAGTGGGGCCTGTATACAACCCTCAGGTTTGTAGAGGAAAAGATAAAAGGAAGAATATACTGCTGCCCAGGCCTCGGATGGGGCCGGAGGGCCCCGGAGCAGCGCTCCGGCAGTGAGGCGCCAGGGGGGCACATGGCGAAGCCCTGCCCCCTCCTTCCGGCCACCCTCTGCTTCCAGCCTCATTCCGTTGCAGGAGGAGGCAGAAGTAGGAGGGTGAGTTGGCTTCCTTCCTGCCCCATCCCTACCTGGGGCTGCTCTGTGTGGCCCAGGCAAGATCCCCCTGCCCCCTCTGTCCTAAATCTTCCCGGAGCCACACACCCCGGGAAAAATCTCCCCCCCCCATCCCTGCCTGCCTCGGGCCGGCCCAGGCAAGGCCTCCCAGCCCCGTCCTCCATATTCCCGGAGCCACGCGCTCCAGGAAAGATCTCCCCCCCCGTCCTTGCGGCCGAGGCGAGCCCCCCACCCAGCCCCGTCCTCCATCTTCCCGGAGCCACACGCTCTGGGAAAGCTCTCCCCCAACCCTTCCTGCCCCCCC